CGAGTTGCCAAAAATGGCTGGAAAATACTGATATAGATCCTGAAGACGTCTAGAGTTATATCTGAGTACACTGAATTCTAAAGTCTGATCCGGATTCGATCATCTTAACTAAGTCATGATTAATAATTTCTGAGCATAGGCAAAGTAGTATGTTTATAACTGAAAACATAAATCAGCACTTACCTGAAGTCGGCGAGGCGTGAGCGTGACGGTTCAGGTTTTTCTGAAAATTTCTGACTTATAATACTTTTCAGAGACACAGAAACGTGCTCTGATACCAATTGTAACACCCCGCTATTTTTCTGAAATCAGAGTACGCATTTTTCGCAAAATTTCTGAATAACTTAATAAATTTTTTAATTTGCGAAAACTGATTCGGAGTGTTACCGTGAAAATTTGACTGAAAAACTGTTAATTTTAAATTTATAATAAAAACGGTTATATAAAATGTTAACCGACTAATATCAGATCAAAAACTGAGTTTAAGTACTGAAAGTTTTAGCGGAATAACAGCGTGGCCAAAACATAACATATACATATCAAAATAAATATCCTGAACAGCTTGTCAGCTCACTCCTCGTCCCCGACTCCGTGACCTGAAAAACATGAAATATGTGTGACGTGAGCACTAAAACACTATGCTCCGTGGAAACCCATACTGAAGTAAAACAGTGAAAATAATAACAATATCATGATCCTGGTATATATAACTGAACTGAAACTGAAACTGATAACTGATATCTGATACCGGTCTGAATAATCTGATACTGATCTCGTGATATAAATCACGTAACTGATAACTGAACATCTGCTGGCACAAACTAATACTGAACACCATGTGCACACTCTAGTGGGCAGATTAGGGCCACTAGAACCCAGAATGGACCGGCGACCATTCCGAGCGGATACTGAATATACATACCTCAAACATGGTAGCGATATTATAATCAATGTAGTACTTAGTCTGAGTCCCCACCTGAACTGCTGAAAATGCAGGTAGTGCTGATGCCTGATCAAACTTAAAAATAATATAAACAATTACTAAGGACTATGCTCAGACTGATAATTTAACTTATTAATTATGTTAAGATGCTCTACTTGACTTAAAAGATATCCGGAATTAATCGGTATAACTAAAACCGGTTAAATATGGAACTGAACTGATACTAATTAACTGAACTGAACTGAACCCGGAATTTTAACTGAAAATGGTACTGAAATCGAGAACCGGGACTGAAACAATGAAATATGGGCTGAACCGGTCCAGCCGGTCTGAACCGGTCTGG